GGACCTGCTGGGTAAAGCCACGAGGAACCCCAGAACGGGCTCCCACAGAGGGTGAAGCAACAGAACTTGCCAATGGGTGGGACTTGAGGCAAGATAAAGGAAAGTGAGGAAGCAAAGATGGGCTCTGGGTTTGGTGGGTAGAGAAGGAGCCATAATTTCACCTGAATGGCTGTGTTCACCAATTGTGGGAGAGTTTGGAAATGAAAGAGGCAAGCAGGAAAGGACCGTGGCTGGAAGGAAGAAGGAAGGACAGTCTCACCCAGCCTCCAGCTTGTTTTAAAGATAGATGGGAAATAGCTACACAGTACAGAGTACCGTGTGCACACCTTCCCTTACTTTCCTGTCCCCTCCCTGCTCACCCTGGAGCTGTGATTTTTCTCCCAGCTGCACAGTGTAGGCAGCTGCTGAGGGTGGAGAGAAGGCATCCACAGGCCCTTCATCACCCCTCTTCCTCTTCCACAGAGTAGAAGAGCAGGGTCTCCATGGCCAAATTTCCTAATTACCTTCACAGCAGCTCTCAGATCCCTGGTTGACACTCCTGAAAAAATGAAATGCATCTAGATGAGGAGCCCAAGCGGGGAGCTGGCCTGCTATTGGTCAGAGATAACTAGGCTGTTGTCCGAGACTCTCAGAGAGGGCTGTTCAGGAACATTAGCTAGGTCTGCTGGCATTTTGCAGGCTGCAGCATGCAGAGAGATGGAATGAGCCAGGCAGGGGATGTGGCGGTCATCAGAAACAAACTCTGCTGGGGCTGTGGGCTGCAAGGGTGTCCTGGTGATAGGGGAGATGGAGATTCCAGCACTTCTAGAAGCTACAGCCGATGTCCTGTCTGGTTCCTTTAGACAAAAGCCCCCGTGAGGGGTGCAGTGAAAGAGCGTTTAGCACTTCACTCTGAGGCCTCAATTCGCCTCTACGACCCTCCATTTTCTCACCTGTAAAACGGGGTTACCAATGTGTTCTTAGTGGTTCTGCTCAAGACTCGGGGAAGTCTTATGCCCCAAAGTGTCCCACAGGACTGGAGAGATTGTTCAGCAGTTAAAGTGTTTGCCACCCAAACATCTGGACCAGAGTTCAGTTCCCCAAAAACCCAAGTACATATCAGATGGGAATAGCAGCAGCCTGTATGCAAGTCCAGCCTCCGAAAGCAGAGACTGGGGGAATTCCCAAATCAAGCTTGATACTGAAATTAGCCAAATTCCCAAGCTCTCACTTTGACTGAGAAACCCTGCCTCCATTAATAAGGTAGAAAAGTGACCAAGAATGATTTCCGTATATATGTGTACACATTTGCGTGCACACATACACATATGTGCACTGATACACATACAAAAACACATGGACACACATATTCATACCACACACAAGCAAGTGAAAAGTAGTAAAAAATTAAAAATATTAATATCTCATAAGGTCCCTAGAATGTGACAGATGTCCGGTAAATACGGCTCCTTCTAGCCTCACTCACTTCTGTCTCTTTTTCCCTGCTACTGTTCTTTGTTTTACTTTTCATTTTTGTTTTGTTACTGGTCATGGTTTTTGGTTGGTTGGTTGGTTGGTTTGTTTGTTTGTTTGTTTGAGCACTAGAGGATGGAACCCATGGCAGTAGTTTTGGCTTTTATTTTATTTTATAATTAACTTAATTTTACACATCAGCCACAGATTCCCCTGTCCTACCTCCTCCCACCCTCCACCCTCCCCCCAAACAACCCCCCATTCCCACCTTCTCCAGGGCAAGGACTCCCCTGGGGATTCAGCTCGGCTTTTATTTTAAAATCAGAAGAAAGTCATGGGTGGGTTAAGACAAGGTAGTGACAAGCAGTTTGCATTGTGCCTGTTATACAAGCCCCTCCTCCTGCAATATGCCCCTCCTCCTGCAATGCAAGCCCCTCCTCCTGCTGCCTTGTGCCCCTCCTCCTGCTATACCAGCCCCTCCTCCTGCTGCCATGTGCCCTCGCCTCCATCCTTCACTTCTGATAGGATCACTCTTGTTAGGCCATCATGTCTTCACACCAACTCAATATCCCAGATCTGTCCTGGATTCCTGCAGCCAAAAATGAGTTCCCAGCTCCATCTTCCAACCTCACCACTTATGCCTGACCTCCTCATTGCCTCCTGATTTTTTGAAGTCACCTGATGGATGACTATCAAGATGCTGCTCCATCAGCACAGTAGCTAGATGTTTACAGTGCACCCAACATTGTGCGGAGCATTTCCCATCCACCCTCCCAGCTCATCGGCAAATCTACCCACAGAACAAGTCTTATTAGTGTCCTCATTTACAAATAGGAAAACTGAGGCTCTGAAGAGCTCAAACCCTCCCTGAGGATGCCAGTGATAAAAGGCAGAGCAGGGACTCACACTCGTAGTCTGTCTACAGTGTACCTAACCTAACCACCGTGTTGTGCTTGTATGATACCATCTCCTGACCACACATCCTGCACTTCCTCCTGCCTTGTTTTCTCATTCAAGGTTCATAATAACACAGAAAATGAGAAGTTTTCTTCTTTCTGCCATGCCCATTTTGCATGTAAAAAGAAAAAAAATCAAGGTCTGAGTAAAAAGTAACTTACCCAATACCAAGAGATGTGAATGACAGGTAAGACGCAAACTTAGCTTTACAAAAGTGAAAGATAAGACATGGCATAGCAGTCGAGCCTCTTCCCATCGGCACAGACTCGCCCGTAGATCTGCTTGTGCTGTAGGAGAAGTTAAGTAACGGCCTCCCCTCTCATGCCTGTGTGGATAAATCAGAAAATAACTTCTGGTGTCTTTTCTGAAGCACATTCCACCTCCATTTTCAATAGAGTCTCTCATCAGTCCAGAGCTTAAACAGACAAGCTGGGCAGACTCGCTTATTTCTACCTTCTCATCTTGCTACCCATGGGGTTATAAGCATGCACCACCATGCATTGTAGACTCTAGGGATCAAACCCAGGTCCTCACACTTACAAAGCAAGCTCGTTGCGCTTCACCAACAAGCCGTCTCCTCAGCCCTCACAGATTTGCTTCTGATTCTGAAATTAAACATTCACCTTTAAGATTAGAGTAGGAAAATTAACAACTATTACCGTTATTGTTCTGACACTTGTGATGGTTTTTCTGAAGGGTGAGTGAAGGCACCTTCCCTCGATCAGTACTGAAAACCCAGGAGGGAACAAAAGAGCTTTCTGAGCTATCAGTCAAAACTCCCTATGGATCTCTGTCATGAATGCTCTTGCCTAGCCAAGATCTTGAGATGTGTTGGTCCTGAGTACATCAGAAGAAGAAAAAGCAAAATATTATTGCTGTTGAGAACACAGCCTGGCTGTCCACTAGGGATTAGCTGGAGCTGATACCTGGGGTTCACAGTCAGACCTTGGATAAATGACTTTAACCCTCCAAGGATAAGCATTCTCCTTTAAAACAAAAAGTGATAAAAGTTAACACACACAACACGTAACACATACATGTACAATACAACACAACACACACATACACACAAATGCACACACACACTACCCTATTACAGATATTAGAGGAAGTGCTAAGTATAAAGAATTTAGCCAGGTTCCAAGTCAGTGAGAGCTCCAGACATGGTACCTTAGAAGTCGGGAAGCTCCATGAGTGATAAAAGAGCACAATGATGAAGAGATAGAAAGACATAGACAAGATGCATCAGTGGTGAAAAGGATCAGAAAGGCCTTAGCTTTGATTCCTAACCACCCCCAGAAGCCCAGTGACAAGCCCATAAAAGGGCTTTATGAGGAAAGCAACCAGGCTAGAGCAGGCTACTCAATCAACTTTGGGCATCTCTCTCTCCACCCACAACATCCTGCCTGGCATTCCACAGTGGGGATAGATTAACCACCACCCCCGCACCCAATCTGTTTCTTCTTTGATGGGTTACCTCCTCCCAATAGTTCCCTCCGTCCTTTTCCATCATCCCCAGACTCCACCCACACCTAACCACCTTCTCCACCTCATAGCTCCCTGAAGATCCAGGCTTTCATCTTTCCCATTGGTTCATTTCTCCTTATAAATTTAGCTCTGCCACCCTCTCCCAAGAGCAGTCTCAGAAGCCCCTCCAAGACAAAGATTAGAATGTTTTCAATATGGCCTAATTGTGCTTCGGGGAACTGCGTGGTGTGTCTCAACCCTCCCTCGCTCCTCGGCGATAAACAGCAACTTTTCATTCTATCCTAGAGTACCAGAAACCATGAAGGCAACCATCTCCCCCAAACTGCTTCTTTCTCACTGAAGAGCCCTTTGTTTTCCCGAGTCTATCTGTATACACTCAGGTGTCTGAGCAGGTTTACAGCTCACTGCTAACCAGAGCACTCAGGTGTTGAAAATGCCCCCAAACAGCAGTGAGCAAATGTCTCCATTCTCCAGCCCTGCAGCTGGCTAAGGTACTGCAGTTTGGGTATGAAGGTGGTTTCATTAGGTTACCAGAAAAGAGGTAGGATGCTGGTCAGGATATGAGCATGAACTGTGGTGGAAACCGGAAGACAGAGCCAATGTAGTAATATTCAATAGTCAGAGAGTAAACTGAGGTTACAGAGAAATGCAGTCTGCTGGCATATGAGGAGTAAATTGGAAAATGAGGAACAAAAGGAGATAGATGATGGGGTCATTGAAAAGCTTAAGGGGTAGCATACACCAGCATCAGAGCCCCACCATGCATATGTCTCCTTGCTCTATCAATTCGTCAGTGAAATTAGCTATGGCAAATTATTTACACCATAGTCATGGGCAGACACTACAATCATAGCTTTGTGCAGTGTTTACTTGAAAACTGCCTGCTAGCCTAGATGTCCATCAAAAGATGCATGATGGGGGCTGGAGAGATGGCTCATCAGTTATGAGCACTGGTTGCTCTTTCAGAGGACCCAAGTTCAATCATCCTCCTACAATCAGCTGTAACTCTAGTTCCAGGGGAATCTGGTTTCCATGGGCACTGCAAGCATGTGGTGCACAGAGTCCATACATTCAGGGAAAACATCCACATACATAAAATGGCTTTAAACTTTACAGATGGTATTAACATGGCATGAAAGCAAAAGGATGAAGATTTCATGGGGTAAGTAGAGAACCAGCATGATGGGTACAGAAGAGGTGAGGAAGGAAAGCAAGGGAGATGAATTAGAACAAAGTCCAATGATACATATATCATACATATATATATATATATATACATATATATATATATATATGCAAACTCCCCAGTGAAACCCACTACCCCAGTACTTTTATGATAACTTTAAAATAACAATTTTAATGTGATGTATATACAAATGGAGTTTTATTCAGCTGTAAAAAAAGAATGAAACTATACCATTTGTAGAAAAATATAAAGAAATGGAGATTCTCATTTTACATGAAATAAGCCAAACTCCAAAAAATAAATAACGTTTTTTCCTGTGAAGAACCTGTGTGTGTATGTGTATAGTGTGTATATGTGTATAGTGTATGTGTGTGTATGTGTATAGTGTGTCTGTATGTGTGTGTTTATGTGTGTGTAGTGTGTGTATGTGTGTAGTGTGTGTATGTATGTGTGTGTATGTGTGTAGTGTGTGTGTATGTGTGTGTATGTGTATAGTGTGTGTATGTGTATAGTGTGTGTATGTGTATAGTGTATGTATGTGTGTGTGTTTATGTGTGTAGTGTGTGTATGTGTGTAGTGTGTGTATGTATGTGTATGTGTGTTTATGTGTGTATGTGTATGTGTGTAGTGTGTGTATGTGTGTAGTGTGTGTATGTATGTGTATGTATGTTTATGTGTGTATGTGTGTAGTATGTGTGTGTATCTGTGTGTGTATGTGTGTGTGTGATGAAAGCAAAAGAGTAATAGTGTAGAGGAAGAACAAAGGAGAATAATGGAGGCAGGGACAAAAATACATATTGTATGTTGTCTCTTGTACACAGAATCTAAATTTTTAAAAACACGCCCAACAAATAAGAGTATAAGGACCACTTGAGGACCAGAGTGGGACTCATGAGAGAGGAGAGGGAACAAGGGAGGGTAATGAGAATGAAAGCACAAAATAGCTGTGTGTTGCACAAATATGAAGTCCATCACCTTTACTCATCTAAAATATACAAAATAAACATTTAACTATTTAAAACTAGAGAAACCTGGCCATTGAGCACTTACTAGTGCATCCATGGAGAGGAAGGCAGCCCCAAAGTCCCACCCCTTGCTGAGGAGCTATTGGCAACTGGTGGCTGCCAGGGGATGTGGCTATTGATAGGTCTTCCGTGACCTATGTGCATATAGGTTGACTAACTAGACTTGAGTTATTAATAACAATTTTTAAAGAGGGCATGGCATCAGGAGACAGTGTGCAAGCACTCGGGATAGTTGGGGGACGTAGTGGTGTGTGCACATCTACAATATACATTACCAAAGGATAGGTAAAATATTATCTAAAAATAATTAATGAAGCTTATTATTCAAAGACATGTTCATGTGGACAGTGATTGGCTCCAGAAAGAGAAAACAATAGCCACTTCAGACATCTGAGTCCAATTCACACTTGATCAGCTTGAAAGAGGCAGAGGTAGTACACACAGCCTAGGAGCAAAGAAAAGTTGGGGGAAATTCTCTCCCTCCCTCCCTCCCTCCCTCCCTCTCTCTCTCCTTCTCTCTCTCTCATGTGTGTACCTATGCATATATATGTTGCAGCTCATTTCAGAACTTACCAAAACCAAGAAAAAAAAATTCTACTATTTCTCATCTTTTCCAACTTACTTTTAGAGTACTTACTTTAAAAAAAAAAATAGAATTCAGACAGCCACGTTGTTTTAAGAGGATTCTTCTTCAATAATTGCCTTTTTCCCCCTTCAGATGTTCAGAGGTGATGTCCACCACCAGGAAGACACAGATTAAAAGAAAGTGGGTGTTTGCCTGTGAGTCCAGCCCGCCTCACGAGCAGGGCGCTTATAACGAGAAGATGGCTGTCTGAGAGAAAAGCCAATCCGTCGTTTTCCTGCCCAACCTTTACAAATTGTGCCCGTGTGGCAGACTTCGAATCACTTTTTCTAACAGCCTCTGAAAACAAATGCAAAACCTTTCAAGTTCATTCAAAGTCATTACAACACTTTCCAGAACTGAATCAATTACCGTAACCTCTGTGGGTGTGTAAAATATGAAATTACCAGCACCCTTGCAGAGCTTCAGAATTGGTAAATTAGCAGAAATTGATTATGGGAGTTTGGGGAGCAGCCCCTGGTGGACTAAGTGTCTTGATGACAAACAGCAATGTATTGTTTGTGAGATTTAGTTTGATGGAATCATCTTGTCCGCTAATGACACTCTGCTTCAGCTGTCACTGATGTCACCCTCTAACAAATTGACACTAAGGCTGATGTCTCCATGCTGTGATGGACAGGAACAAGGCACTCAGATTGTTCTTGCAGGTCTAGTATCTGTCTGTGTTGGAGCACCATCGAGATGAGAGCTGTGCTCCTCAGATGCACTTACCATGGCTTCTCCTGGACACCGTGGGCCACACATTCAGAACAGAGCATGACTGAGGTTCCCAGTGTGGAGAAGGTTTTTATTTTCTTATCATTCCTTTCTCGTAGCCTGATCTTTGCTCTCACCTACATGGATCCAGTTTCTCTCTCTCTCTCTCTCTCTCTCTCTCTCTCTCTCTGTGTGTGTGTGTGTGTGTGTGTGTGTGTGTGTGTGTG